AAAGTAAACTACACACGATATACTAAATAAAGTGAAATCTATCTTTTTACAAGCCGAATGCACTTGTACTTAGTTTGTAGCAATTTTTTATTCCGTTCAAAAACAGTTCGTCTGCTCTTAAGTCATTTTCCAAGTTACTACTTGCTACGAACTTCCCACCTTCCATCCTCTTAAATCGGCTGTAGCTTTCTCAGATACGAACATATGTACAGCGCTGTGCGCAAAGCATTTACCATCTATTATCACTGACTTGGCCATTTTAAGTACAAGATCTTATGTTTGTCTGCTTGATGTGCTATATCGAACACAAAAATCGTTTTCAAAACAAGTGCCCTTATCCTTTTCACTTTATGTACTTTGCTAGCAGCTATCGACAAAATCTCATCTAGTAGCACAATTGTATTATAGAAAACTATTGCCGCTGAATATATATATATATATGTATATGTATATATATATATACATGTATATATATATATATATATACATATATATATATGTATATATATATGTATATACATGTATGAGAAAATATACAAGTACGGAGGTGTATATATATATCTCCGTATTTATATATTTTCTCTCGCCACTTAGCTAGCTTTATGTTTATTTACTTCATCAACTTAATCATCATATATCACGGTCTGAAAATCCAGCACATTTAACATTTTATTATAATCGTATTATAATTGTGCAGTCAGCACCTTATTTACGTCTTTCCTCCATTTCTCGCTTTCTCTTCCCTCACTGTAAAAACAGACTATAAAAAAACGTGGAACAAATCAAACGACGAAGTTGCTATCACTTCATGATACGTGGAGGTCTTGTATGTGACATATTAGTGTGCAATATACTTGGGGATCTTGTGCTCGGTGAACGTGTCCTTTCGACATATGAATGACTAAACAATTGGCCCTCCTTCTACCTTCCTTAGACAATTTCACGCCTCACAGAAGCAATCTTCTTTTCGTTTTTAAAGTTATATCCTGAGGGATCTAACAATAACCTTAGGTTTACATATCGTGAACGTCCCTATGCACGAGTAAGATTTTGAAAATTAGTTAGTCGACTTTTCAAAATACACCATTTTGAGCCTGCCCGACTAAGCCAAGATAAAGCTATCCGCAAAGTGCAAGTAGGATCCAGGTGATACGAATGTTAGCACATGTTCCATCCCCGTTTCATGAGAGACATTACCTGAGATCTGACCTTGTGAAATTTTTTTAAGTAAGCAGCTATCCAGTCGTGCTGCCAAAAACAATTGTGGTCGTATTATTATTTATGTCATCAACAGCATCTTGTCCACCATACATACGAAAGCACTACACCTGCTAAATACAGGACGCAACGAAGGATCTCTCAGCAATCAAGCCATTACCACTATCGTTAACGTATCAGTATGAAACAACGTAATTCTTAGTAATCATTTGTAGTTAATAGTATGCTTTTATCTCTCTGTCTGTCTGTCCATACTTCTACCGCTTATCGACTGAAGGTGTAGCGTCACGTATGCAAATAAATGGCACCCGTGTTATCAGTCGTCGACTGTCCCATGTCAATGCTGATACCAATCGTCATGGCCTGGGAGAGCGTAAGGCCATTCAACAGCTGCTGCTGCTGCTGCTGCTGCTGCTGCGAATCCTTCTCCAGTTCATCTCTAGCGCCGACTATGATGCTGCTGGGACTGGTTCCAGCTGCCGTGGCTACTGCGACCAGTTGCTGACAATCCGACGCAGCCTGGTAACAACTTGTGCTAGTGGCGACAACGGGCGGTCGGAGGAGTTTTGCCCGTGGCGATGAGGTGCTCAGAGCGTGCTGGCTCAATAAGCTAATGCTTGAATCGATAGGCGTAGATATCGTCTGCTGTTGTTGTCCAAGAAGGCCAGAGGAAACGCTATGTACAACTGTATGTTGTTGTTGCCCCTCAGCCCATGGGCGTTCTATCGTCTTCAGTATAGAAGTACCTGCGCTGAGTTTAACGAAACTTACCGCAGGACTGCCTTCGCTGCTAGCGCCGGAGTTTGTCCGGAAAATCGGAATCATTGAACTGGATAGCGTGGCCGGCTCATTCCCTCGACATTCCAAGCCGCCATTGCAATCTGCAGGGTATGCGCCACAACAACTGCAACCTGTAGGTTTCAATGTACCATATTGTTAGTTGAGTGCCTATTCGACTTAGGCCTTCCTTAGAGTATGGAGACGTATTTTTATCATCACTCATTTGTATTGACTACTGGAAACGATCCTGAAACATTCGTTGGGCTGTGAACCTAATTTCAGACAAAAATGCTTCCAGTAAATAATTCTAACTAGGAAGACCATTCAAAGATCGTGACTCAAATATACAATTATACTTCTAAGACCCGTATTTGCACCAGGATACCCAAGCACACTGTTTCATACGAACACATCCGCTGTTGCTCTTTCTAGCAAACTGACAGGCGATCAATTGCACGATAAACCCCTTAGGAATATGCAAAAACAAGATTATTTAACGACAGGCTTCGTGCAGACCATACGTAATATACGGGTGCTTACGCTCAACCTAAGCAATCAACGTAATGATTAATTTACCAGAGGTCGATGAAAGCCCTATTTACAGTCGCTCTCACAATCTTTTTTACCTACTACACAAAACTCTAGTGTACGAAAGTAGGCCAAGTGCACCGAGTGAAGCATAGTAAGGTGTTGTGGTTTCCGCGCAGCTGTCCCTGTTCGCTTAATCAGCGCGCATGTTTGGCTATAACGATACGGGGGGTTGAGGGGCGAAACTTACGCGCATGCTGGAGAGCCTGCGATGCGCTGCTATCCTGCAGCTTGGCGGCTGAGAACGAAAAGAGAGAGATCGCATGGCCAGCGCTGGCTCTGTGTCACCGGAGACGGACACACGCTGCATACATCATGCAAGGCAAGGCCACTCCGTAAAGAGCACGCCACAAGTCTACCAATGACAGTGATCTCATTGCTGCTGAACTCAGTAGACTTGAACCCCCGCCCTGCATCGCAAGGGTCGGCTGATCACCTGGAACAGAAACAGACGCAGACACAGCGAAACAATAGCGAAATATAATCACTGATTTGTAATGTCTATGCAAATCAGAATGTTTGCGGCAATCTATAGGAAAATTACTCACACCATCAAGTCCAACAAAAGAACACTTTGCCAGATGAATTGTTAAAGGTCGACACGGTCTAGTTTCTCTTGTGTGACTTGGTTACTCTGCATTGGCAAGTGCGACTCGTTTGTGACCCCCGTCTGAAACGTAATCCTTTTTTCGTGGGATCTTAACAAAAATGAGCTTGAAAACGAGATCAACGTAAAATTGAAATTCTTTTCAGCGGGTTACTAGGTTTAGCTTTAGCCTCAGCAAGCTAACTGCACTTTGGGATTACACTTAATTTATACACAGAGTAGATACATATTAATAGAAAATATGCTATCTACCGCAGCAAGTCGACAATCCGACACATGTGTAGAATTCTGTCACCTCTAGATAGGTCTATTCTATTTTGAACGAAAACCTGGACCACATAAGCGAATTTCGATCTTTTGGGCGTTCCCTAGCTATTTCTCTTTTTCCATATACATACTTAGGTAGGAAGTAACACAGTGGTGTTCAGTTATGCAGTAGTAACCGTTGCCACCAAACTTCTTAGACAGTTCTTCCGCGACACTGGCTAACCGTCACGAGCAAAGGTACTTATCTCTTTTAACTTTTGTTGCAGTTATTACAGCCCACGCCGTTACGGGCACCTCACTTCTACAAGCTTCCCAGACTTCTAAACCTAATCGAATCAGTATGTGTGGAAGAGAAGGTACAGCTCAATCTAAAGGGTATCGCACAACAGCTGCTGTATTGTTATATTACGCAAAGGCCCGCCTCCTTTCTGTTCAGGAAAAAGGAGTCGGGAGACCTGGCAGTTTTACTTTTGTTTGCCTTACGTGAGATCGCCCGAACGAGTCAGGTATATCCATACAGAGGCAGCAGCCTCGGCACTGTAGCAGTTACAAATATGTAACTGCTACAGTGCCGATGCTTACAAATATGTAGGACATAACATGCGGGGCCTAGCTTTAGGCTGACGAAGAGGTCTAAACCCGGCAAACTTCGGACCGATGCGACAAAATTCGAATACGGACTTTAATGTGTTTGCGAGCGAAGAAGGTACCGTTAAGATGTTAACCAATGATTGATTTATGATAGTGCTTGTGATTGCTGAAATTGTTTTTGCGATTAATATGATAACGAAGGCAATCACGACACCAGTGGTAGCTTTGAATTTAGGAGAGACAGTGTCACGGAGGAGTCCAGTGCCATGTACCATCATGTGGTCATTAGTTTTCGTAATCTACTGGTGGGTATATGGTCACCATCACCTAGGGCAAGTACTTATGTGTCTGGTGTTATATGAGAGTGCAGTCTACACCATGGTTGGCTGCTCCTCGGGCAGGCCGTTCTCACTCTGATACATGCTTCACAGCTAGCTCACCATTAAGCACATGGACGGTGATAGTGTCGGGCTCGGCATTTGAGGGCCGACACGTATAATTTCCCGAATGATGTTCTTGCGCTCGTGCAATCGTTACCGTCGACACGATAGAGTCACCGTTGTTACCAACTCCGCCATACCTGAAAAGAGAAACGAAGAAAACAGACAAGACACCATTGGCGGGCGCTACACTGTAATTGACACCCATCAACTGTATCATTGACGAAACCTCGCCAGTTCTTGACCGCCAGATTTTGGTCTGCCATAACTTGGCAAAAGACCGAGAAGCATAAACCTTAGTAGACAACAGGGCTAGTTTTGTGAACCAACACAACTAAGCTGTTATTTTTCCGTAATACATACATATTCTGCTGACAGCGATGTGTACCGGGTAACTGACGTCTGGTTGATGAGTCAGACTTCGGAGCTCTGAAGCTTGCACTGGAGCAAATGCAATTTATTGTAATCGTTATTCTTAAAGTGAAATTACCCTCGCGGCGTTTCTTCATTCCGCTACACCCAGTGCAACAAAAGCTGCACAAATTGTACGTTGCGTTAACATAAAAAAATATTCGATAATATTTGTTTACGCGTTTGCCGATATTGCTTTGATGCTCAGTACACACACGTGAATGACGCCAAAAAACAAAGAGAAAACTGGCACGATCTGAAACCAGCCCTGCTTCAGTCTCGTTCCTTGATTGGTTCGATCTGACCGCACTAAGTATTATTTGACCTTATCTCGCTGCGTTACCCCTCCACCATCATTTATAACCCTGATTCTCCTTAGAGTCCACACAGTCTCAACCCTAAGTGAAATAAGTCTGGTTTGCTTCGGTCGTAAACGGCCTTTACTTATCGTTTCATTTTAGGACGCCACCAGGCCAGTACTGCCAAAGTACTGCCGAACAGCGCCAACATCAGTCAAAGAAGTAACAGCCGCGGCAACGATGGCAGAACCCCACTGCCCCACATTTGCCAGCGATGCCATTCCGATGCTATTCGAAAGCAGCAGTGCCAAGCCTCCTTTTTCAAGTAGCACTCGGAAGGCGTCGTCTGCTTCTATCTTTGCCACAGTTACTCCTACAGGCCCACAGCAGGTCGTTTTTACCAGGGTTAAAAAAAACTGCTGTTCGTTATGCTCCCGTCTTTTTGTCTATCTGCATTCGCCTGGCTAAGACTGTTGCTGCTTCTATTGGTGTCATTGACGGCACCGTTTGTCGGCCTTGTCGAGGCCGTTGGGGCTCACGGCACCCGTTGGTAACCGACGGCCATTAAACAGCCAATCGTATCTGGTACCTCGCCAGTGTCCCGCAGTACTTTTCTTGCCGCTTTCTGCTTGGCCTGTGGTTAGGCCTCATTTTCCCGCACGGTTGCGGTGTCAGAAGGCTATCAGGCCCAGCTGGCGAAGTTTACAAAGGAACCAGAAGAGAAACGAGGCTATGATACTACCCGCACAACGATTAGCACCACTTTAGCCACCGCAGCCATACCCATCAACAGCCGTGGTGACGTCGGGGGAGACAACAACAACAACTCTGAAGATTCAATGGACGCAGCAGAGTGAAAAAGCTAAATGTGAAGCTTAAAATAATCAGAAAGAATAGGCGAATTGACAGGCGGACAACGTTCGACGATAGCAAAACGAACTTAATAATAAGTTTGGGTGCTCAGACATGTTAACGGCCACTTATGTTAGTGCTACTCAACATGGCGCCCGCTGGCCGTTTAAGGGGTTTAAAAGGCACAACCACACGTTATTTATAAATTCGCGGGTGTGCGTGTATGTATAGTTGAATATTAATTCGGACAAATGCCCATTGAGCTGCAACAGTATAAAGTGCATATTTCAATTACCTTAGCGTAATTGTAGGATCGTCTTTGTGGAATCAGTCAGTGGGCAAGCAGTTATAGGCAAACAAAGTAAGATCGGTGTTGCTTTCATTTAGGCCACTTTTTGGTTAAGCCTTAACACTTCTACACCTGCACATGGTAGAGATTATGAAATAACCAGCAAACACCATTATCAAGCCAACGCGCCTTGTCATTCGTATGTAACTTGATTCATATTTCACACAAAACTCCCTTTGAGTAGCCGTCTGTTTTGACACACAGCATCACATATAATGCAATCAAATACCAGCTGTTGCAATGCCGCAGCCCAAATGCGCAAGACCAACGGAATGCTGCGCCGAACTTGGGTCGTACTATTATGGACATGCACTGGGACGTCCTAATTACCAAAGGCTACAGACTAAAGCATTGTGCCCTTTGCTTGACTAACTTCTGTGTCAATGTGTTTGTATGTATTAGTAGTTTAGGCATAATCCCCAACGCCTAGCCAGCCGCCAGTGTCGAAACCTGTAATAGATTACCATAGCACTTTTGCTAGATATGCGTTGACAAGGCTGTCAAAGTTTGTTTTGCAACCGAACGCTCTAAACTTTACTTTAGTTATCCTAGACGTAATAAGAAAAAACTCGTATTCAAAATATACGTTACTGAATCCATGATAGTTTTCAGCCGAGCCTGACACGAGCGATAAGTTCTGATGGGTTGTCCTTTTCTAGTATTACTAGCGAAGAAATTACGATAGAATGTATATAATTCGTTTAATGCCAATGCACTCCCATAACCCACCTATGCACCCTTGCCGATCGATCATAGTTAAGGACCGCTCCGTTGTGGTACCAAAACACATGAAACACGTTCCCTTCTTTACTGTTTTTTCGGGCCCTACTTCCGCTGCCGGAACTGCTGCTTATGCTGTTTGTATGATCTTTTGCTTTGTTTACGCTAGATCGACCACTTCCCGACAAATCGTCCAATCGTTTAGTGCTTGCGAGCGACCCGCCACTCAGCTGGTTTTGTTGATGCTGCTGATGTTGGTTGGTATGATTTTTATTATGATGCCCCACGTAGGCCAAGATACCATCTCCACTGAGTACGCACGTCAAATTGAGCACGCTGCCCGTGTTGACGTACAGCTGTGGGCCGCCGGAGATTTTAGCACTTCGCGCTGAAATCCGAATTGTTTTGAACACGTAAAGCATAAAGTAATTGTACGGTTATTAACATGCCGTAAAACTTGGCATAATAGTACTATAGATAATTATTATTATTATAATAGAGATAAGCTTTTTTCTCTCTTTCTTCTTTTCCAATTTGATATCCAGTGTGTTATTCTATGTAGAAGTATGTTCCATTACCAACGTGTCGTGAAAACAACACATGGACTCCTTGTAGGTAAGCAATTTTTTCCACATTACCATTATTGGCTAAATAGTAATGTAAAAAACAAGTACAGTAAACCTGTAACACGCGTTTGCGTATTTAAGGAATATCACTAGAGCATGAGATGATAAATGTATTTCTAACCTCACCTATGACATTAAGGGTGACTTGTCGGCTGATTTTAGGTAGCGTGCCGACTTGACATTCGTACACGCCAGAATCGTCAGCCGTTGGATAAGCCAGCTGAAGCGTCCAAAGATCTGAGCCTGCTGTGTGTATGACGCTAAATCGCGGGTCCTGGGTGTATCGTGCTAGTCCAACGCTTAAAACATTTAGATCCTTACGTCGAATCCACGACACCTAAAAGAAGAATGCGGTAATGGGCAAGTACGCCAATCATGAATTATGTCGACGTATCGAGTATATTGTATTTGTCCTATATAGTTCTAAGTAAGCTATAAAATCTTACGGCAACATCTCACCAGAGCCAAGAGGTAAACAGCTAGAAACTGAAAACAACGATAGGTTACGTGAGATCGCACGACGTCGCTTGGTGCACCGGGTCCAGCACAACCACACTCGATATGAATGAAACTCGGCTTGTCTGTTACTGAAGAAACGGTATCAGCATACTGATTTTACTCACGTGACTCGCAGGTGGAAAAATAAGATTAACGGTCAAGCGATCAGGATTACATTACACCTTTAAGACGAGATACACTAGCCTGTCCAGCTGAGCTGGAGGAAATAAAGTGTTACAACTTACAAAAGAAGAAAGCTAATAATAGCTATTTACAGTCGACAGTATCGATCGTTTTATCAACTTATACGATTACTAGAGTAGCAATCATATTCTACAAAATACATATAGTTACTTCGTGGCAATGTCTCTCTCATCTCTATATATACTTCGTGACGCACCACAAAACATTGTACTGTTATGACACTATAGGAATAGCTTCTACATTAAACGCTAGATACGTGTAATAATTTTGCTAATACTACAGCACGAACCGTTCTATCGCCGAGATTAGTAACCGCGCAGGGTAGAAACGCAGGCTTGCCAATCACCGCCGTGATGACTTCATCCATCGCGGAACTGTCAAATGCTGGAAAAGCTCCCCCTGGTCCACTGGCGGCAGCAGCAGCAGTGTTAAAATTGGGGCCTCCTCCGCCAGATGTACCCAGAGCAATACTGTATTCGCCGTGGCCACGAATGACACTACCACCACCCCTGCCTGTGCCTCCCGTTTGGTCAGTGTCCCCCAAAGCCGAAAACGAGGCTAACGGGGCACCAACATTGCGTTCACTGTTCCCCCCAGTAGCCACTGAACGCAAGATCAGCCTGTTGTTGCCAGACCCACTTGTTCCACTGGGGGAGTTCACGTTGGCGCCTCTTCGTCTCAATTGCTGCGACGAAGTCTGCGGTAGCAGTGAGTGCGATATTACGCCGATGTCGAGGTCAGCATTTGCCCGCTGCTGAGGATGCCGATGTGATCCAGTAAAGGCAACAGGATTTCTACCAGTTCGAACTTTGCCGGCGAGGGCGACCGCTCCTGAAATTGAAGATAAACACAGCAGCAGCAAAGGGCGAACAGGGAAAAAAGGATAGATTGGCACAAACGATAACGGTCATGATAATGAGTAAATCTAGTTAGATACGAGCTTGGCGTTCAGAAGGGCTAGTAACCAATCAACAGCAAATCAGACTGCCAACAGCAGAAAGAGGGGCCGCATAACAGCAATAGACTCGTGGCGCCCAGTGAAACAGTAGCATAGCCTTCGGTTGTAGATGCTGCGATAAAGAAGAACGTGCTATAAGCTGATAATTAAGCGAGAGAAAGATCACTATGGCAGTAGGGGAATAATCCGTATGCTTAATGGGTATGAACAATAAATATGCTTTACTAAATGTTTGGTGAACTAACTGCCCAGTAACCAACTACAAAAAGTTATCTGTCGGTAGTCATTTTGCGTTTACCCGCGCGCTGGTACACGCGATCCATTTCAACGAATTTGCTGGAATATTTTGCTACATCGTCCCAAAATCAAAAAGCGTTGCGGCTCACTGATTAGCAGGTCGGTAAGGCACACAAGGTGCTTACTAGGTAACATCTTCCATAGATTACGTCGTGTAGCTACAACGAATTGATATGTATCCACAACTGCAGCATTCGCTAGCTAGTTCTTGTACTCCAATCGCAATCGATATTAGAGCCTCAACCCTCAAAAAATCGGCCGCAACGTATTCGCTACGTTAGGCCGATTTAGTCGGTGAGCTCACTGGGTCGTAAGATTAATCATTATGTTACACCTTAGACGGAACTCAAACATCCTGCTACTCTTTGAAATTTGGTATCTGTTTGCATCGTTTTAACTTTGATAGAAAATAAAATCAAATCTTTCGTAGCTATCAGCGATATCCAGCCGAGCAGGCGGCTAGCGAAGAAGTGCTAAAAAGCACTATATATATATATATATATATATATATATATAAACAAAAAAGACCAACAACCCTAATCGAACGCCGTGGTAGGCCTAGACAAATATTTGGTCAACGTCGCGGCCGACTGTTTGAAAATGAACGGTTTACTATAAACGCTCTCATATCATTCATTTAGGCCAAGCTAACACCGGCCCCTTTCCTGTGTTGCTAGAAGAACGTTCGCTCGCAGTTTGGTGGCTATCAGAAGAGTTTCTTCCGTTTCACAACGCACCGTGAGGAAGAATTTCAGCCTTATTTCCCCTGATCATCCTCAGTCCATAAGTCTAAGATTATATATATATATAATCATTTTCGTCGTATCCACATGTCTGTTTCTAAATATGTGCGTGTTTTTAGGTAGAGAATTGATTTGTTATATCCGTGTTCATCATGAACTTGATAAAACCCTGAAAATAGAAGCAAAACGATACTCGAATATATCGAATTGGCTGCCGACATATGCTGATACTCCTATATATTGCTTACTGAGGTGCTTGTTAAGGTAGTAGGGTTTTCCAGGGAGCTTTCCACCAAATTCTTCCTTCTTTTCCACATCTTAGCTAGCACGCTTGTACCTACATACAACAGTTGTGCACATTACCCTTTCAAAACTTGCTATTGGTTACGGGTACGATGCCCTTGGCCGTTCGTCACCTTTTCCGGAAAAATTAACACGGATCCGTTCACATATACGCATAACGATGTATATAGTTATTTCCAATAAAATGTTCATATCAATATTGTATTAATACCTCTACACTCAAGTGTACAATAACGTTTCAGAACGTCACCTGTAATCAACCTGAAGATCAGATCTCATGTAGAACGTATTCATATGACGCCAAAGTTTTTAAGTCTCTGTTCGATGTTCTAGTTCGGAGCGCTGATCCAATTAGTCATCGAATATTTAACAAAGATTAGTTGATAAGGTTAAATATTGAAAAATTGCCGATGTACAGATATTCTACTTCCTAGCGGACTTCGAACGGGGCCGGACACCATAGTGAGACTAGAATGCGTACGAGAAAAAAAAAGGACAGACTGCACTCCATTGCTTTGTTACGTTAACGGATGGCATTAACAAGCTGCATATGCTAAATATGTTAGAAGTTTTGGTACAACTAAACCATCTGTATTCGTTTGCTCTGTTTTACGTGCCCACGTGTCCTTTTCTCCTTGTTTCTTATGATTTTAGATTTAAAGGATTTTTATCAGTTAGAGCAGTAGTAGTCAGCTTGTACTATGATTATTTTTACAAATGAGTATGGCAAATTACAATTAAAAACTTATTTGTTTTGGGGAAAGGGAGCGACGTAGTTATTCCTTGCTGACTTCTGATGTGAGGTTCAGTTCAGACATTTTGCACCCATACTCACGGGACTATCTAGCCATGGCATAGAAATATCCTCGTCTGAAAATACTTTGCTAACTAATGATAGTCTGCATGTTATCGAGCGTATCATCATTGCGGTACACCTCCTTTTTCCCATATTACTCTTCATAGGTCAACCCAGTTCCAGCTTCATCTACGTAGCTTCTAACTCCGCCATACATTTCAACGGTCCGTTGTCTCATTAGCAAATGTCTCCTAGCTTTTCAAGTCGGGCCAGCAAAGCCTCGTAATCGATACAATTCGACATGTAACATATAATTACTACGCAAACATGACTGACATAAAGATAACCAAAGAAAGGATCGTTTGAATTCGTGCGATGCCTAGGTACGCGGGTTTGCCCCCGTCCATAGACCCCATTACGAAAAAAACGTCCGTGAGTCGGGTTGTACGTCGGCGTTAATACGCGCCACGGCAAACGCATCGAAAACCAATTGGCCGGTAAACACTGAACGATGCATCGATGAGATTTGAACTTCAAATTTGTTGCATATGTTGGACCTTATCCACGCTGTTGTTCAACGGCCGGAGAACCAACTGAAGCTCTACATTTACCATATCAATAGATGAGTGACGCAAACTCCGGTAAAGAGCTTAACGTAATACTCGGATGATCATAATTGGAGGCACGAAATGCGCTTTATATTATAATTTGTCGTATGAAAGTACTTCGGTTTTAAGCAACTAAGTGGCAATTGCTTTCATACAATGTGGCATGACTTTGAGAGAACCAAACATGTTTTGTATTTACTATCTATTTTTGTAAAAATTGTTGTCTCTTAACGATGTAATTGGGCAACATCGTGCGAAAAAGGACTTGTTGTAATACAACGTTATTATCGACTATAAGATACGTACACAGTACATGCAACCCATGTATCGCAAAGTAACAAAGGTGTTCACTTCTCCGCTTGAAATCGTACAGGCCTAGAGGCGTCTACCCTCGACAAAATGCAGGTCCTTATCCTCTCATACTAATACAATTGAAGGAAAGAATTTTTGTCTTCTTATATCACGATTTATTTAACGATTCCCCATAAAAGTGTTTATTACGTACCTGTGTACTGCTCGTTATTCGTTCCAGCTTTCAAGCTACAGTACGGGACATATCGCAGTTATTAAAATTACTAACCGATGTCCTGCAGTCTACAGGTGTTATTTGATTCAAATGTAATGAACGTGCGTTTCTACGAAATGTTTCGTAGGGAACCGGTCGGGATGATATAGTAATGAACATTTCGTGACGCAAGTCCATACTCTGTTGGTTTTTTTCTCTCGGAAATGAAGACCCAACTCCATAACTTGTAGGATAGAGCGTTGGTGCGGAACTGACCAGCGGATGGGCATTTAGCCAGCGGCTTGATAGCGGCCCGTTAATAATAACCACGATATAAGTGACTGGATTGAGCTATGTCACAGCAATAGATCAGTATTGCAAATCAGTTTGGAATTATTAATAGGCCTATTTTGAGGATTTGCGAATGAAGATAATTGAAAATGCTTCGGCAAAATCTCCATCGAGTGAGATTATCTTCTTTAACTATTTACAATAGACTTGTGTTCAGAGTTTCTTTTATAACTGTTATAGATTATGTATGACATCATAGCATTTACTTACGTTTGTGCCATTCTTCTTTTTGCCATTGCGCTGCTTCCGGGTCAAAAAACATGTCTGCTGTTGTATATCTACAAACACGTATACCGTGTGAGACCAATATGATTCTGCTTGAGATAAAAGCATTGTTAAACTTTTAGCATCACGGGTTGCCATAATAGTACCATCTTAGTAAATCAATTTAATTACCCCTTACTGTTTTTTCTACGGATCTTGCTTCGAAGCGGATCTTCTTTGACATTGGCAGTGGTTACTCTTTTCAATCTATTTAATTTATATAGGTGCCCTTTAATCATAACTAATGTAATGTTTATAGAAATAGATGGTATTTGACCTTCCCAATGTTAAACAACCACCTGATTAAATAAGTGACATACATAGGTACCATGTATGTTCAATTCAATGTGTCATGGAACCTTTGATCTATTATAGCAAAGCGCACATATAAAGTTTGCTAGCGTCTTCGCGTTTCTTTGTAACACCAACAACTCTGCCATATCATTGACGTTGTCTTGTACAGAGGTTGACTCCGTATTAGTGGTGTGGGAGACTGACTCCCCCAGCACTAGATCACGCAACTCTTTGTCATCGGGCGCGTTGTTGCCCACAAAACACTGCAACTAACCTGTCTAATTTCTATTGCAGCCAGTTTGCAATCTTTGATAGTTTCTCTTTAGTCTGTTCCTTCTTTGCCCTTTTGCGATTTTTTCACACTTCGTCTTTTTTTTATTTCCGCTGTCCTGCCTGAAGCGACTGGTGTCTGTAAATCAATGGTAGTCGATCTTATCTGCCTTGGCGTGAAAAGACAGGAATCAGGGCGGTTCCCGGCATGTGTTTCCGGGATATGAAGTGGCTTGAAACGCCCAGGCGATCAGTCCCGAAGTTGCCACCGCTACGACAGGGAACCAGATGACTACTGCGACTTCGGCTCACAGATTGTAACCGAATGACTGAGTGTTGAGAACGTTTCGCAGCAGGCTTATGGGTGTCACTTGGCAGCCAGACAAACTCAAACGAGTTCAGAAAATCGGGGGCATTAAAGCATCAGGCAGGGAGAGGAAAG